GGTTTATCAGGTGCGCTGTGATAACAATGATAATAATAATAATAATAATAATAATAATATCAACTACATGAGTGATGTGAGAAAAGTTAAACAGAGAACCTGAGTCAGTCAGGCTGAGTTTATCTCCAACACGTCATGATAAATAAACCCAGGTGGTTCCAGGTGTTCRTTAAAAACATCAGATTAGTGATTTCAACGACAACAACTGTTCTGAACAAAACATCCGACGTCATCACTTTCAAATACCTCCACCTGTAATCAGACTCTTACCTTTTTCTCTCACTTTTATTCTTATTCTTGTACCAGTTAAGAACTTTTTGTCCTTTAAGCCTCTTAACTCTGACCTGYSAATCATTCAAGCATAAAGGCTCCTAACCTGAAGGCCTGACACAAAAACAAAGTGTATATTAAACTTTGTGTACAGAACAATATAGCCTACCTATTAAATTACATTTTTATTGAGATTTTTTTTATGACAACCAAAATGTTTTGCGGACAACCAGATCTGAAAACCCTGAAAAAAATCCTTCTGTCTACCCCTGCAAAACTTGTTTTCTTTGTTTTCAGTCAAACCTATAAAATAAATCAAAGTTAACTCAGTTTAAAACAGAAAGTTTGGCGTGGATGATCGACTAACAAAAGTATGCATCTCTCAGCTCAAAGGTCAGTTTTTGCCCCTTTGTTCCCATTTCTACACAAAAAAAATACCTTTTTTTTACAGTTTATTTAGTAAGGGTGTAAGAAAATATCGATACACTGAAATATCGCGATATTTCATTTCCCGATACTGTATCGATATTCTAAAGCCCTGTATCGATTTTTAATTAAGGTTTAAAATGTCAACTTTCCTGCCAACCTTTCATTTTTATGTTGTAGTTCAGCCACTGACCACTAGTTGGGAGCAGTGAGCCAGACATTTGGTTCCTCTACCTCTTGAGCGCCAGAGAGTAAGAGAGCATTAGCATTTTAGGAGACATAGGCTGTGTCCAAAACGGCAGGACGGGTCCTCCGAGGGTCGAATTTGTCGGCCGCATACGTCACAGCGTTGCGACGAAGGCCGTCCAAAACCGAAGACTCCTCCGATGAAGCCGACAAATACGTCCTTCTTTTTCCCCAAATCGAAGGACAGGTCTGATGGATCCTTCCCGGCTCAGCATATCCCATAATGCATTGCGGCCCGACCGGAGATTTTTTAATGCTAGTAATGGCGGACGAGGCGAGAGAAAAGAATACATTTTAAATAAAAATATGGTGATATAAAAATTTAAAAATTTAGCGGTTGTAATTCTAATACTTTTATCATTTGTATGGACATGTTTTTAAATATTATTTTTTCGTCATAAAAAACATGAAATAAACATGAACCTACAGC